CACTGAGAGACTGTGTTTTGTTTTTTGTTTGTTCTTACTATAGGAGAAACTGTAGCAAGTTCGTGTGCTAATAGGGCTAGTCCATTAGAGAGGGTAAACTGTAAGATGCGGAATAGTTTCCTCCTGCAGAGGAAATAAGAAACAAAGTCCAACACACAAATGTAGGGGCTGGCCTTAAAATAACTGATTCACCATAATAGCAGGCAGGGAAAATAAGCCAGTGTAGGTGTAGAGGCAGGTAGATATGGTGGAGAGAGGATGTAGAAATTCTCTGAAATAGGAAGAAAGGTCAATGGAAATGAGATTATGTCAAAATAATTGTGTTGCAAGTGTTTATAATACTAAACTCTACATTGACATTCTTCTGTTGCACAAATACCATAGTCATCTACCTCCTACTTTAAAACAGGGCAAGGAAACATTGATCATGGGTTTGGATATCATGTGAGCTGGTTAGACTTAGCTTTTAAGGCAAAAAATCATAGCCCTGGGCTCAGTCAGCTGTCATGAAAATGCTGCCTCCAGTCATAAGGCAGATGAATCCACAAAATCCCAAACTGCAGAAAAACCGTTTAGTGTTGCCCTGTCTTGATGACGGGATCCTAATAGCATCTTCAAGCAGAAATAATCATACAGAGCTCCCAATTATAAATAAAGGATTTCTTGGATTTTCATGTCCTGTGGGATATTACAAAGCAATATTTCCCTGTCTGCCACTTTGCACACTATGCAAAATGTGTCCAGATGCAAAATAATAGCAACCAGTTTAAGTTGAGGAAATATGACTGGGAGAACACATATAAAAGGGTAAAAGGCAAAGATGAGGTAGTATATTGGGATGGCCACCTGGCCACCAAAGGTCCTCACCATCAGTGGGGAAACCAGTTTCACCCAGTTGGCCTTCATGCAGAGTTTCAGCTTGCGAAAGGGACAGGGAAGGAAGCAGAGGGTCTGAGTGGCCCCATGAGATCAGGAGGAAGTTGTGTAGGAGGAGGACGCCCTGTGACTGAGGGCCAGCGAGGACTAGTGGGAGGTCAGATGTCCCCTACTCCGTGACACTGGACACGTTTCTTATTGGTTTTAAGACTGTTTCTTCAACAGTAAAATAGGGAAAGTATCTAGTTCAGAGGGTCCTCATGAAGATTAAAAATTATGTATCTAAAGTTCTTCGCACATGGAAAACAACCGTTAAACAGCCATTACACTCTCCCATACTGTGTTAGCCCATTTTCTGTTGTTTATAACAGAATACTTAAATTGGTTTATTTGTAGAGGAAAGAAATTTCCTTTTGTACAGCTATGAAAGTCAGGAAGTCCAAGGTTGAGGAGGTGCATCTGGTGAGGGCCTTCTTGCTGGTACGGAGTCTGTGGAATCCTAAGGCAGAGCAGGGCATCACATGGCAAGGGGGCTGAGCATCTTAGATCAGGTCTCTCTTCCTCTCCTTATAAAGCCACCAGTTCCCCTCCCATGATAACCCATTAATCCATTAGCCCATTAATTTTTTTTTTTTTTTTTTTTTGAGACGGAGTTTCGCTCTTGTTACCCAGGCTGGAGTGCAATGGCGCGATCTCGGCTCACCGCAACCTCCACCTCCCGGGTTCAGGCAATTCTCCTGCCCCAGCCTCCTGAGTCACTGGGATTACAGGCACGCGCCACCATGCCCAGCTAATTTTTTGTATTTTTAGTAGAGACGGGATTTCACCATGTTGACCAGGATGGTCTCGATCTCTTGACCTCGTGATCCACCCGCCTCGGCCTCCCACAGTGCTGGGATTACAGACTTGAGCCACCGCGCCCGGCCAGCCCATTAATTTATTAATCCATAAATGGATTAATTCATTCATGAGGGCAGAGCCCTCATGATCCAATTAGCTCTTAAAGGCCAAAGCTCTCAACACTGTTGCATTGGGGATGAAGTTTTGACATGAGTTTTGGAGCAGTCAAACCACAGTGCATGTTATTACTGAGAATATGATATTCAGCCTCACCCCAGCCTCATTTGCTACCAAATGACATAACCAAAACCAATTAAGGTTCATTCCCATTTATTGCTGTGGTTTTGTTGTTCTTGTTGTTGAGACAGAGCCTTGCTCTGTTGCCCAGCCTGGAGTGCAGTGGCACAATGTTGGTTCACTGCAGCCTCCATCTTCTGGGTTCAAGCAATTCTCCTACCTCAGCCTCCTGAGTAACTGGGATTGCAGGCTTGCACCACCACACCCAGCTCAGTTTTGTATTTTTAGTAGAGATGGGGTTTCACCATGTTGGCCAGGCTGGTCTTGAACTTCTGACTTCAAGTGATCCTCCTGCCTCGGCCTCCCGAAGAGCTGGGATTACAGGTATCGGTCACCGTGCCTGGCCCCCATTTCTTTTTAAACAAATATTTATTGAGCTTTTACCAGGCTCTGAACTGGGCTCTGAAATAAAATGGTAAACAAAAGCAGCCATGGTTCCTGCCCACACAGAACTTAGTATCTGTTGGGGAAAACAGATATATTGATTTAAAAGTCATGCAAAGGCCGGGCGCGGTGCTCACACCTGTAATCCCAGCACTTTGGGAGGCCAAGGCTGGCGGATTATGAGATCAAGAGATTGAGACCATCCTGGCTAACACAGTGAAACCCTGTCTCCACTAAAAATACAAAAAATTAGCAGGGCATGCTGGCACATGCATGTAGTCCCAGCTACTTGGGAGGCTGAGGCCGGAAAATCACTTGAACCCAGGAGGCAGAAGTTGCAGTGAGCCAAGATCGCACCTCTGCACTCCAGCCTGGGCAACAGAATGAGACTAGTTCTCCAAAAAATTAAAAAATAAAAATCTTACAAATGTAACCCCATAATTGAGACAGTGGTGTTTTACAAGACTGTAATTGCAGAATTTAACCTAGTCAGAGAAGTTATCCCTGAAGAAGTGAACTTTGAGCTGAAACCTGAAAAATAAACATTAAGCAGAGGTGGAGGCCGGGGGAACGGCAGGGGCAAACGTTGGTGGCAGAAGGTCCTGAAAATAGCTCTGCAAAGCTGCAGAAGAGACAGATCCCCAGGAGGACACAACTAAAATGAATGGAGTGGGACAATCATAGTAGAGACCAAACCACGCTGGGGGGGAGGGGGCGGGGGGCCTGGTATAGTGTCAGCAAGGCTCTAATTTACAATGACAGAGTCCTCTTAAATGACAGGGAAAACAAAATAATGGTGCTTCAGGACCTTATTCATGGCATTAATAACCTACTTTAAATTCATATTTGGAGTGATTTTTTATTTGAGATGGAGTTTCACTGTTGTTGCTCAGGCTGGAGTGCAGTGGCATGATCTTGGCTCACTGCAACCTCCGCTTCCCAGGTTCAAGCGATTCTCCTGCCTCAGCCTCCTGAGTAGCTGAGATTACAGGTGTGCACTATCATGCCTGGCTAATTTTTGTATTTTTAGTAGAGATAGGGTTTTACTATGTTGGCCATGCTGGTCTCGAACTTCTGACCTCAGCCTCCTGAAGTGCTGGGGTTACAGGTGTGAGCCACCACACCCGGCTGGAGTGATTTTTATTTCTCTCATTTTGTATTTTTTCTTATTGTTTACATTGCTTCTGATGCATGTTACTCATTTTTCACAAAAATGCTTTCTTCTAAGTCAACTTCATTGAGACATTTATTGAAAGTAAAATGTGCCAGTTTTAAGTGTACATCTCTATGAGTATTGACAAATTTACACACCCATGTAACTACCACCACAATCAAGATGAAGAGTATTTGTATCACGCCAGGAAAAGTTTTTTCTCAGTCAGTACACCCAGCCCCAGGCAACAACTCACCTGTTTTCTGACACTATATGTTGTTCTTTTTTGAGTTTCATACAAAGGAGATAATACAATATGTACTCTTATGACTGGCTTTTTTCACTTAACATGGTTTTGAGATTTATCTGTTCTGTTGCATGTACCAGTAGTTCATTCCTTTTTATTGCTGAGTGACATTCTGTCTTATGGATATTCCAAAATGTGTTGATTCACTCCCCTGTTGGTGAACATTTGGGTTCCAGTTTGGGCTGCTATGAATAATAGGGGCATGCGCTTTTATTTCTTTGGAGTAAATATCTGGGAGACGAATTCTGGCCATAAAAACCTTTTTTTTTAAGTAAATTAATAAAACAAACAGCAAGGTGCAGTTTAAAAAACCAGGTCACAGACCAAATCAGAAATAGTTACTGATTTCCCAATGTTACATCACTAGAGAAGTAACTGCAGTTCAGAAACCAGATTTTGTGGTTTCTCATGTGAATTCCAGGTAATAGTGCCCATGTACATACTTCCTGTTATAACCATCACTGACTGTTCATTCCCATCACTCAGCTCGGATTAACACACAAAATGAATTAAAATTAAAAGCAGTTGGGGGTTGGGTGAGGCACTTGGAGGAAGAGAAGAAAAAAGGAAACTGACGTCTTACCCTGCTCCCAGTAGACATGAGTTTCAGATGGCGTAGACAGTTGCCTGTCAGATGTGACTCCCTCAGTAAATCAGAGCTGCCTCTGCCAAAAATGCTCCTCCACTGATAGCCCCTGTGTCCTAATACCAACCGTTAAGAGTTATACCTCCTGGCCAGGCGCCATGGCTCACACCTGTAATCCCAGCACTTTGGGACGCTGAGGCGGGTGGATCACCTGAGGTCAGGAGTTCGACACCAGACTGGCCAACATGGTGAAACCCAGTCTCTACTAAAAATATAAAAAATTAGTTGGGTGTGGTGGCGGGCGCCTGTTATCCTAGCTACTTGGGAGGCTGAGGCAGGAGAATCGCTTGAACCAGATAGATGGAGGTTGCAGTGAGCCGAGATTGCGCCACTGCACTCCAGCCTAGGCAACAAGAGCAAAACTCCATCTCAGAAAAAAAAAAAAATCATACCTCCTTGGTAAATTATTAATTAAGTGCCCAGTGAGAAGGTACATGGCCCAAGCTCTGGCTTCTTTATGGGATCTATCAACAGCTTCCAGGAAAGGGTTACACAAGCCACAGGGGGATTGTTTTGTAAGAGGAAGGGAAGGACAGAAAGATCTAGAACAAGGTATAGAGGTCTCCTATTGCAATCAGATTTGCTGACCTAAAAACTAGAAAACAAGGTCTAACAAACTACATAATTTTCTAATCTGTTCGTATTTTTAAACAGTAGCTCCACATTGAGTCATTTACCTCATTTTCTTTGTTCAGAATATCCCATATCCATGAACCCCAAATGGTAAGCCAGAGAGAGAAGGCTGGGAAGGAGGCATCAGTGGAAACTGTAAGCAGCCAGGGCCGCTGGGACCTGCAGAAGGCATGAGAAAGCAGGAAGGAAGGAGGGAAGAGGGAAGCGACCTGAGTCTGCCTCTAGCCTGTGTCTGCTTCCCGTGCAGTCTAGCTTAGGGACACAGAGAAGGACTTCTGAGTAATGAGCACACCTAAAGTGTCGGCCATGGGACAGAAAAGACACTCCTTCCTGGTTGTCATCCCGTAATTCGTGCCTGTCTCCTGTGTTGAGCTTTACCCTTTGCCTGACTGTCCAGGCAGACCCGAGAAATTAAGACAAAATGGCATATAGAGAAAGATACAATTTATTCAATACATAGGGACAAAATTTCTGTAACTTGGGGAGGTCAAGTTAATATCATCAAAGCTGTTAAACTTCTACTTTAAAAGTAGAAGTATGTGTTGACAATCGTTTTCATAACAGTCAGGAAAATGAAGCTGGTTTCACAATATGGAGTGTCCTTTCTGGTCAATAGTATTGCTTCAAGAGAGATAGCATTTCACAGATCTTTCCTGTGACTTCTAGAAAAGTCATCCAGCCAGATTTAGGTTCAAACTTCTTTACAAAGCCATTTTCCTAGGAGAGAAAAAATTTAATGTTTTAAAAATCAATGGAGATTATGTTGGAATAAAAAGCAAAAATATTTTTATTTAAATAATGCAAACAGTTAATCTTCTACCCCTTCTACCTCTCTGAAGCAACAATATGTAACAGAAACAATGTGATCTACATCTGTAATTTTAAAATTTTTGTAGCCATATTTTAAAAAGTAAAAAAATAGGTAAAACTTTTAAGATACATTTAGTGTTATTTTAATATGCACTCAGTATAAAATCATTAATGAGGTACTCTTTTTTCGTAACCTTCTGAAATCCAATGAGTATTTAGTACTTACAGCACATCTTAATTCAGACTAGCCACATTTCACTACCATAGTGGACAACAAGCACAGCTCTAGAGGATAGAATGCCTTTTTTTTTCCTTGTTCAATCGTCCAGCATTGATTTAAATGCACTTATATTTGTAATATAAATTACTTTATATAAACTCACAGTAAATCCAGATTAAATCAGTGCCTCTGAAAAGGTTGATGGTTTTGAGGAAAGAGACCCAGGCATCTGGGATCACCTCCCCCTTGACTTCCACAATGCATTTCAATAGAAGAACAAGCAGGCCAACTGGCACCTCCTGAATGACCTTCCTGTAAATAACACGCTTGGTATTGGGGAAACTCTACAGAAGACACTGTTTTTACTTAAAACAAGATCAAACCCCCACCCAACTCTCCATCTGGAGACCAGAGCCTTTTCACATGTGATTTCTAAAGCTGTAAACCCAGAAACCCTTTCATATGTGATTTCTAAAGCTGTAAATCCAAAACCCTTTCACTCGTGATTTCTAAGACTATAAACCTAAGATTCTTCCACGTGTAATATCTAGAGTGTAAGCCTATATAAAAGCAGAACCTTCCTTTGTTAGACAACTCATTGCCTGGCTCCCAGCCATAATAGACCCCTCCCTTCCCCATTCAGTGTTTGAGAGCTCTATTTCTCTCGGCCACTCCTGCTACAGTTTCTTTTAAAATCTACTCTCTTTGTGATCAGACATAGTTTTAAAAATATAGGATAATCCAATTAACTGGAAATTTTATTTAGTTAATTTACAATCTATATTCATAGAATCCTCACTGAAAAGCATCTCTGAGATCATCTAGCCTGAAGCCCTCCCTTATTTTAACAAATGAGGAAATTGAGGCCCAGAAAAAAAAATAAGTTATCTAAGATTAGCCACCGCCTTGTGCCTGGACCGGGATTAGAATGCAAACACCCTACTTCTTTCCACTCCATACATTTCCAGGCAAGTGCCAAAGGAATTAGAAAATTGTTTAAAAATTTTTTTCAAATGGTCATCTGGCAAACATTTACATCTACATCTTACAGGTTCCAGAATCTGGGGCTACAAATGCCTGCAAGTAGCTCAGAGCCTGGTGTGATGAATACTGAAACATAAACCAAGCACAACTCCTCCGTAGTTGGGAGAGACTCAAGAGCTCTGCAGTGCCTTGGAATCATTTATGAGCATCACTGGCAGAGCAGATGTATACCACCAGCCAGCGGGACTTTCCACTTGACAGATTGCCTAAGAAAGCCATTTTCTGCCTACATGTTAAATGTGGATTGTGCTCTGAGACATGCTGTCATGCCCTGACAAAGAAGGAAACTGCCCCCTCTCTTCTTCCTCTTTCCCTCCTGCCAGCACATGCCCATAGATTTCCCATACACTCTCAGAAGGTGTCCACTTCATTACAGTCCTTCCTAGAATTTTCATAAAGCCCATGTTTTCTGAGTATAATGAGGCCCTCTGAAATGATTTTTATTATTATGACAACAATCACTGTCTATGAACAGTTAACCTGTCATCATACACATCATTATCTAAAGAAAGGACAGTGAACAAAGAAAAACATTGATGACTTCAGCCAGATGAAGATTAAAATTTTTTTTAACTATGAAAAATTAAAATTAAGAAGAACAATGGACTAGGAAAATATTTACATATACCATGAAAGAATTCATTCAATAAAAGAAAATCCTCAGGCCCTTAATAGTTAGTTTAAAAGGGAAAGACCACTAAAGAGAGAAATATAAATCATTAACAAGTATGTGGAAAAACAGTAAGAGCAGTTAAAGAAATGTACTTTGAACACAGCCTTACTGTTTTTTAGACCTGTTATATTGGCTTTGTTGTTTTATGCCTATCAAACCCTCAAAATTTTTTTTTTTTTTTTTTTTTTTTTTTTTTTTTGGGGGGGGTTTGTGTTT